ACTGCATAAATAATTTACACAGCATATTTTTCTTATATTCTCTGCTCTGTATTACGTCATAAAAGTTACCTTACACTACGTTATGTTACATCGCTTCGACATTCATCCTGCATTGGAACTTTCGCGTACGGCTTTATTATGCTGACGCCTGCCTCCCAGCCTGGCGTCTTCGCGAGGCTTCTCGTTGGCAATTAACAGTACAAATTCAGCGCAAATGCTATTAGTCAATTTGCTAATAGTTCGAGTTTCTTTTCGCCGAAATTCTCGAAGATGTTGACTCTCCTGTTCAACGGTTATTGTGAAACTCTGATCATTGTCATCGCATAGCCTATGATTGTTGTACACTAACGAGAGAGAATGATGCTTTATTTTGTGAGGGTAACACTAAAAAGCTAAAAGCTAAACAAAATAGACTTTCATAAAAGTTCTTCGTCCGCGATCTCGCTCGGCCGCTTCGCGACCTAAAAAGCTCGCCCCGCTCGCTTAGAAACTTGTGAGATAAACTTGTGGCAAACCTGTGGCCCTCAAATAGCATTTTAGTTACTGGCGGGGAATTACTTTTTATTGGGAAACATTTTTAGAACAGTCCTTTATTACTGAGCTCTGTAACAGTTATTATTTCAACTCTTAAAACTTACAATTCAAGAGTGAAATGTTACAGGCCTTACTTTTTAACTGTTATTAAGAACTTTATTTCTGTACATGCCGGCATCGAAAAACGAACGGAACACGGAATGTGATGGGTCGGAAATGTTTGTAATTATGGGCCTAAAAGTTGAAAAGCGGACAAACAACTAGCTCTTACTAATTAGAGCAAATGACCATGCGTTTGGTTCAGGCGTGGATTGATAAGAAAATCATGGTTTTTTTGCTGACGAACGGAAACTGAATTGCTCACTCAATTGCATCAAATTTAAATTGTAATGACTTAGCCCATCAACTTTCATGACCCACACAACTGAGAGTCGTGCACGATCGACCATGACAACTCCTATGAGCTTCCTACTTCATTGTAGTTTAGATGTTGGTCAAAATTCATCTTCTTTTTTCAGGAATAATATTACTAAAGGAACACTTGGCAACGCCGTTATTTTAAAATCCAGTCATTCTCATGTGAACTTTCCTTCCCCATCCCTACTTTTTAGTTTTCATCCTTTTCTTTTCTTGATTTTTTCAGATTGATCAACGATCATGATTTACATATGCCACATTCCGCCAACTGGAAACACTTACAGTTTTAGATTTAGCTAAAGACACCAATATCTACCCCCAAAGTCCTTAATCCCATGTTCCCTTGACGACCTCTAGTCTCCTTTTACGGTTAACAGGCTGAACCACTTCTGGTCATTATCAAACAACTGTTGGACCATGCTGAAAAAATACTATGATTTTTCATTGACGATAGGGTCAGATGTTTTGCCGATGCCAATTAGGGAGAGGCAAATTCTTGACCTGTCAAAGACTGATATTAAAATAGTTTGAGACCCGAGTTATCTAATTGTCAGTCTTTTTGTTTAGTTTTTGGTGACATGCTGGTCAAAAAAATTAAAAATCTTCATATCCACGTAAACGCTAACAGTTTTAATTAGCAATTCAGCTTGAGCCAAAGCTTTGACAAGGAAGTCTTAATTAGACCTTGAATTAAGTTGCTATGGTTTGCAACGGTTTACGTTCCTAACAACTACTATAGGCCAATATTCATTAAATATTATTCAGTTCTACGAGTTCAAAAAATTGTTTTATCAGTCAACCAGCTGCCCAAAACAATCACAACTCTCCATTTCCGTGTGTACGCTAGTAAAATAACAATTAATTCATGATCAGCAAATGGCTTTGAGATACTGATCCAGACTTGAACTGTTATGTTCGTGATCAGATTTCCTAAAAACATTGATGCTAGTGAACAAGAGGTCGAAATGAAAATTGAAACTACGTGAGAGAGTTTATTCATTAATTTTGAAGTCCTCATTTTGTGGTGGGCCCATTATGTAGGCGTAACAATTCAAACGAAACCACTTTGATATATAAATGTTGTCAGGTTACCATTTGTTTTCCGCTGTTTTTATTACAAAGTGAAAGTACAATATAGAAGGGTCATCAGCAGGAAAAACTCACTTGGGTTATATAGTTACCAAGAACAAATACGCTCATTGTGGAGGCGAGCGATGATTTTGATAATGATGGGGTATATTTCGTTGGATTATGTTTTTTTTTCTTTCTTTCTTTCTTTCTTTCTTTCTTTCTTTCTTTCTTTCTTTCTTTCTTTCTTTCTTTCATTCTTTCTTTCTTTCCCTCTTTTTTTTTCAAGGGCTACAGATCAAATAATTACAAATCTTCATTTCTACGTGTACGTTAATAAATGAACAATTAGCTACAGCTTTGGGTTTCTAATGCAGTTTGACTTAATATTTTGCTATGTTCGCAAAAAGACTTTCTGCACAAGAAGTTTAAATGAAATTTAAAACTACAGAGTTTGATCAAATATTATTAATAATAAATTTGCTGTCTTCATTCGTTGGCGCACACCTTAATGATATGTATAAGTATAAAGTTGTGAAGTGTGGTACTTCAAATAAAACAACTTTAATATAACGTTGTCAGGTTGCTATTTGGTTTCAAATGTTTCATAACTTAACATGATAACAACTTTATTTAATTATCACTGAGTTTAGCTAAGACAAGCTACATGATGTAATTCGGCACACTAAGAGAATAAAATAAATTGATAATTTTTAGTAACGAGAAAATGAGAAAAAATGTATATAGAGATTATTCTGCAATTCCCTAAAACTCTAAAATTTTAAGAAACATTAAAAAATTAAAATTACAAATTTAACTACCGGTAAAATATCTACCGGAAAGTGTGTAAAAAAATCAGTCTCTAAAACACTAAGGAGCTTCTAATTATACAGGAACTACGATTGTCGTTTATAACTGAGATTTTCAAGGTAAATGGGTGGTATGCTGGATTTAAAAGATTGCAAGCTAGGTTTGTCTGTGGCTCTAACGTCTAATCCAGACCATGGTCTAAAGTGCCTCATAGAATGTTTCCTGTAATGTACAGTATTGGGTATATGAAAATCCTTATTTCTTTAGTGATAGTTGGATGACTCAACACTAAAAATGTCACTAACATTTCAAAGTGAAAGTACAATATAAAAGGTCAGCAACAGGATAAGCTCACTATAGTTACCTAAATAAATACGCTTATTGCGAAGCCGACCGATGATGTTATGATGATGGCGCATATTACGCCGTTTGAGTGTTTCTTTTTTCCGAGTTGGGTGCCTATTAAAGTTTAGAGATCAACAAGGTGTTGACGAGTCCAGCTAGTACACTGGGTAGTCAAGATAGGGATTTGCTACAACAAAAGCCTAACCAGTCAGGGTGAGTATTTTACTAATTTATTGCTTCTAAAGTCTATTTTTCAATGTTTTGAAAAAACCACGGGTGTGAGACTCCGTTAAACCACAAAAAGAGAGACTTCGAGACTTACCCTAAACTGCTTTTTCCGAGTTTTTCGAGAGAGGATATAAAATAGTTTTCGAGATCCATAATCAACCAAGACGTTCACCATGGGATAGTTCAGTGAAGATCTGAAAACCTCATTAAATTCTTAAAACTTCATAATAGAGTTGTTTTAATTTTATTGTTCGCCTTGTTGAGACTGACTCCCAATCAGTTACGAAATGTTGACATGAGGCAAAGAGTGACTCGGGAGCTCAGCTTTTAAATATAGGTGAATGTAACTTCCAAGTTAAGTTGGGAAAACGAAAAATTAGTAAGAAAGGCAGATCTTTTACCTTGAGACAAGAAAGGATAAAATTCATCCTTCCATGCTTGAGAACAGTTGTTATCTGTAATATAACAAAGTGGACGTAAAGTATCGTACGGGACTCAATTTCCTATTAAGGGTGCTCTATAAAATCCAGTCTTAAAAGCCCAGTTAGAACTCGTCGCAGCAACTTGAATAATTTTGTTCAGATATTCTTATTTCTCCCGTTTTTTCTTGCTAGAACTTGGGGTGTTCCTTATAATTATATCAACTATGTCGATGCGCAACGATGTAATACTAAAAGGAGCAAAATGTTTAAAAATATTTGAACTTTGGGGCAAATGTGATTGGTCAGTAAACATCTTTCCTCTCCTATTTTCTAGAGTACTTCATTTCTCAGACATTTTCTCCACCAGCTGAAGATTGTTATTTTTGCTGGCTAAAGGTGAGGTTTTTTGCAAAAGCTCTGCTATTTGAAAGCCAAGGAATTTCGCAGTTTGGTTTCATTGACGTTTATGTTTGGTTTTCCAGTTTACATGTAAAACTCCTTTTCTTTTATTGCAGATGCATTACTTGACTTTTCTTGTCGTTCTTTTTACCGTAATACCGTGGGAGTCAAATGGCGTTAGAAGGCCGGGTTACAACGGCGAGGTATAGATAGCAACGAGTCCATGCACAGACTATAACTACTCAATGCTTTCTCTTTTTAATTTAATGAAACCTTGACTATTCAGAGGCACCCAAATACATTGAAAACATTTTTTTTTAGACTATCCAGGGTACTTTTAGACCTTTACAAATGCGTTCTAAGCAGAGCTATAAAATTTGTATGTTTTCGGCCATCCTAGGGAAACTAAGTCTTTTCGAAATTGCAAGGGCTTCAGTATTATTTTCTCGAAAATTTTTGATGCAATTTAGCGAGTTACGAAAGTGAAGATTTTTTTATTCCTCTCTCTATCACATTTTTGAATCCGAAAACTTTAGGTTTCCTTTTTCGTACGAAAAATAGTTTAACCTGGAGTGTGGAATGTGAAAAATATGCTTCAGACAATCATAGGGACGAATTTATACGAAAATTGTACGTGAATGGAACGGTCTATTATGGGCTCTACGCAATATTTGCTTCTCCGAACAGATATTTTACAGCAGTCGTCTGGTGGCCCTGACTATTGCCTCGAAATCCCCACCCCCCTACTCCTCCTAAGCCTCCTAAAGTATTAATGCATATTCTTCCTCTTTTCAGTTTCCCAAAAGCTGCCGTTATCTACCACGTAATTCACCGAATGGGGTGTACAAGATACGACCGCTGCCATACGTTAAGCCTATTGAAGTGTACTGCGAGATGTCCATCTATGGCGGTGGATTCACCTTTCTTCCTCGAAGCCTAACTAGAGCACCACATGCCTACAGGATTGTAAATGTACTTTTTCGAGACAGAAGAAACGTCTTGCTGAAGTTGCAGAAAAAAGTTGGTCTCAGTGAGTCATATACCCTGATCCAGCCTCATCCTTACTTCACCAGAACGATGTTTGGGGTGAGGGTCAACAGCTACCACGGTTACACTAAACCAGTCAACGCTTTCATGAGAGATTACATTTTTCTCAGAATAATTCCAGCATACAAGGCACGCCACCGTAATGTCCAAGGCTTCAAATCCAACGGACACAAAATCCAGTTTAGAAATTGCGATGCCAATCCCAACAGCTATTTTGCATTCTTTCCAAACCACAATATGCAAACTCCCAGTAACTATGGTGCTAGCTGGCATATCTACGAAACAAGCCGCATAGCGGTAGACTGGCGCTCCAAAGCAATTCCCATCACCAATCCTGTTCGCACCATGCCGAACGAGTTCTTTTTCTTGACGGAGCTGCATTTTGGTGGTTGTGGCACCTACACCTCCAGTAACCGCTGGTTCAAGTTTGGCTTTCAAGCCACCGCCATTGGAATTCGCTAAGAGGGCGGCGATTATAACATTTAATCTTTCCCGTCTTTGGGGTGTTCATACTGTTAAATATTAAGCGTGTCAGTTTTTAAATAGTCTTGATAAAATAAAAGCATTGACTGATTTTAAGTTAAACGCTTTTTGAATTTGTAAAACATTAAGATTCAAATGAATCCATTTTTAAGTTTAAGTCATACAAGTTTTAAGGTAAATTCATGGCAAAGGAAAAACAGGCTTAATGTAACACTAGGCGCAAAAAGGAAAATAAAATGGTTTTTAAAAATTGTTTGAGTCTCTTAATTGATTCTTGAAAACCCATAACAAGACCATATCTACAGCACCTTGGAGAATTTTCATCAGTAGGACTTATATGAAATTTTACATCAGTGTATCAGTGTACAAGTACCAGTGTCATACAATGGATGTTCCTAAAACAAGGAACGGGGTAATGAAAACTAAACAGAGAAATGAAAATGACGTTACTGATAGAGCCACAGGTGGCCCAAGCGTAATATGAGAGTTTGTATGGGAAAAATAGAAAGTGGTACCTTAAGATCACCTTCCTGCAATCTTTTCGATCCAGTTGTGCTATCCAAACGTTAGGTTTACCGGAACGGATTGCAGGAAGGTGATCTTAAGGTACCACTTTGTGGATTCGGCGGCGTAAAGTGTAAGTGTGTTTGTTTTTTCGCGTCAAATTTGGAGCTGATTCTGAGCAGCTTTCAAGATCGATCAAGCGGTTCTGTCCTACCTTGTCTCTTATTATTACACTGTCAGGTCAGATGATGTAAAGTACTCAACTCAAATCGCGCTGAAACTTCGTAAAAACAAAGACAACGACCCCAGGTAGCAATATTTACACTTCATTGATAGCTATTATGGTTTTTACTTCATTTATTTCATCTAAGTTTCAAACTCTATTTTTGCCATACAAACTCTCATATTACGCTTGGGCCACCTGTAATAGAGCTAGGCATCAAATTACCCATTTCCCTAGCCCCGTTTTAGTAACATCCATCACAAAATAGGTATGATCATCAGTAGCCGTAAAACATAGACTACGACCAGTCTATAGACTACGTCATAGTCCGTCGAGCGAAACACGATCAGTACACTGTAAATTAAAAATATCTGTTTCAACCAGAACTTGCGCATGCCACTTATAGCACTGTAGGCCGAAGACCGATTCATCCTCTCCTGAGGCCATTTGAGCACATTTTAAGCCAAAGCAGCCCGGCCCTATCATCAAATGCCTATTCAAGACCACGCTTAGACTCATTTTAGCCCGCGTCGAGCCCGTGGGCACGCCCAACTGAAATCAGCTCAAGCTATATTGGACTGTATTGGCACTAAATAAGGAAGTCAAATTAGACCCCAAAAATAGGATTGTATTTTATTTCCCGAAACGGACCCAATTTTAGTGCTAAACAGATCTTTTCATGATTAACAGTGTATTTCTGTCGAATTGATGCCGATTAAGGCAACCGTTTCTTAAACAGGACTACAAGACTTTTAAAAGTTCTACGCTCTGTATTTTAGTAGAGATCAGTTGTGCAGAAGAATGGCATGTTTCTATCAGCTGGATCACCTTGTCTCTTCATTTCGAAATTTCTGTTTTAGTTAATTATTTCATGGACATTTTAATGGAAGGCAATTTTTTTTCGTTATTGCACCGATACTGGATTGGATTAGATACTGTGAACAATAGTGCAATAACTATCCACCAGTTTGTTTGTGTTGCAAAACTACCAAGTTTTCCGCAACCATATTTTCCCTTTCATTTGCCAAAGGATTGTAAATGGAAAGGTACCATACTTTTCTTGCTCGACAAGTAAACCAAACTAATCACTATAATAAGTGTCTCCTCGTAAACGTGGAAAACTTTTATCTCTCAGTTCCTCTTATGCTTTTGTCAAAGTATAAAACCCACGACTTTGCCCACCAATATAATTATTAAAAAGCTTGATCAGTTTCAAATGTTGGCCACTTTTACTTTAAAGCCAAAATTGACGATAATAGCTAAACTCTTTTACAGCTTGTGAGGCAAAGAAAACTACATTGAATAAACCCTTCAAAAGTTGTGGTTTTTTTTTTTTTTAAAGTTTTGAGAAAGACCAGTTAGCGAACATCCATTGACACTGCTAAAAAGAGCGCCTTAAAATTTGGAAACTTACCAAGCTTACCAGCGGGTGATACGTTGTAAATGAGCAAAGATATCGCTCCATAATAAAGACGCGAAATTTTACAAACGTTTGTATGGCGGCGGCACGAACTGGCCTCCTCCCCCATTCCTTCCCCTCCCCTCCCCTCCTTTCCACTCCCCATCATATAAACGGCCGGAAAATATTCAATGACTATATCTTCGTAAAATTTTCAATGGCTATATTTTCGTTAGGTTTCAACAAATCTCGTTTAAAGAGGAATAGTTAAGAGCAGGGCAAGCATTTTTGATATTGTAGGCCATGATGGTGCAATATTGTCATCTACCTGTTTGTTTACATGCAAGAAACTAAAGTTTTCCTTGAAGAGGTTTTCCCTCAAACTTTAAAAAAAAAAGCAGTGTCAATACACGGAAGGTCTGGCAAATGTTTCATAAACAAGGGAAAAGCAACAGCTATAATTTTAAATTTTCTCTACGTGATTATAAGAAAAACTTGTCATGTGAGTGTGTTTACCTTTCGGTTCCTCTTGAGCAATAGTCGAAGCAAACCACTTACCAAACAGTTGAACTATTTCTGAATTAAAGCCTGTTTTAATTTCATGTTTTTTTTGTCACTTGATCGCTAATACTCTTTCCAAAGGTGACGATAATAATAACCAACCTTTTCTTCCGCTCTTGAAGCAAAGTCAGATGTTAGATTAAACACACACCTTATCCCACGAGCTTCCACCTGTTTTTATATATCTTTCATTTTAATCAAGTTATTTAATACTTTAGAAATGACAAGTTTGACTTCTGAGTTTTGCTATGCTTTTATCATGACGTATGTTTTGTATGATTTGCAACAGAACATCTCGCGATCGGCAAGTGTAGAATTCCTCTCTTATGTTTTATTTCAATTTTATTTCTCTATTTTTGTATTGAAGATAAATGACTCGCTCACACTTGCCTTTGAATTAATGAATGCGGGATTTTGCTACATTGTAGCTTAGATGCAACAGCATCCTGTCTTGCAATAACGGCTTTACAGATAAATTGGTATATTTCTAGCCGCTAAAGCGACGGAATTCGTCGTCCTTTCAAATTCTCAGGGGCGTAGCTGGAACTTTTCAGGAGGGGAGGGTGGTGGGGCTCACTCTCAGGGTACTTACCATTCTGTCGTGTCGACATCTATTATGTGTGTTACTAAAAGTGACATTTATTTGGGTAAGATATCGCTATTCAAAGACAATGGGCAACACAGGACCCCTCCTAGTTACGCCACTGTTTCTGTCAAATTTTATACAAACAATAATTATGTTCTTTGATATAGTAGGGCAGGGCTTCACTCTTGGATATTGTGGACGACAAATAGCCCAATTATTATCCACCTGTTTCTTTGTTTTGCAATTTTAGCACATTAATTAGTGTAAATGGAAAAAATGACAAGTTTGTTTTCAATCCTGGACAAGGAAAAAAATTGCTACAAACAGTTTTTCTCCAGGTATAACCATCGAAAATTTGAAATAATTTGTCCAATCCTCTAAATCATATCATGAACTTTCCATTTGTGAAAGTAATCCACCTTCACCTTTAGAAAACAGCCCAATTGTTTAAAGACTCTCTCTGTTTTAAGTTTTGGTTCATTCTTAATCTTCACAAAATCAATTAAAACTTCAAAACGCTTGCCTGATTAAAGCATATTATCATCCATTAACAAGGCGTTTTCAAAGTGGTTTACCCCCTGCGGAAATTTCCACCTAACGACATCCTGAAACTTCAATCCATGATGGAAGATTGAGATATCGAATAGGACAAAATGATTTGGTTTCTCAGTTTTTGCTTCATTCCTTCTTTAGTCTTCGCCGCCGGAAACTTAAGATCTGCCTACTTCAAAAGTAGTAAGAATAAGTATTTAGCAGGCCAAGCGGTCAAAAAAATTGATTCACCCAACCTTATTTCATGCTGCCAGGCATGCTTAGGGCACTCTTGGTGTACCTCTGCTAACTTTAAAGAGTCCTTTGGGATGAGCAGCAATGGTAATTGTGAGCTTATCAAGCAACAGTTCTCTCCCGTAAGAGACAAAGCCAAGCTTACTGATCGACCAGGTACTACTTTCACGAGAAAAATGGTAAGAGTAGTATTGTGTCAAATATACATAGCACGTATCCCAAGGTGGATTCGCAAAGGACCCACGTAGTTTGTTCGAGTTATCAGGGGCTCAAATCAAGTTAATTTGTTGTAGTCTAAGATGTACTTTGAATAGAGTGTAGAGAAGATGGATATCATAATCTTTTGTTAAAAATTATAAGCTGACGGCTTTGGTAAAACTTGCGGTTTTCTAACTAAAGACACTCTCATCGCCTTTGCCCATGAGAGCCTTAACTTAATTCAAAGTCCCTACCATGATGTTCACCAACTTAACTTCATACTTGCTGTTAATCACTCTATACCTAGTTCTTTATTTTGTTTACTTTTATTGTTGTCTGCCTTTCATTGTGAGATTTGATAACTCTGTTTTCGAGAGGCCGTTTCGTAATGGTAACAGGACTGAGTGGAGTCCAATTCGGTCTGTAATCATACGAGTGATTAACAAGATCGGACGACGCGTAGCGGGAGTCCGATTTGTTTAATCGCGAGTATGATTACAGACCGAGTTGGACGACACGAAGTTCTGTTACCAATTAATCATAACTTTAACAAAATTTGTGATATATAAGACTCTTTTTAAAATAGAAACACAAGAAATTCCAAGATTTTTTTTGCTAGAAATAAAAAAAAAGACATTTTAGCGCGCATGTGATTGCGCGTACTGTCCAATTACTTAGGCATGACGCGTACTGTCCTATTAAATTGTCCTATTAAGGCTGAA